GAAGCAAACTTCTCCTCCTTCCAAAAAGCTATAGTGTAAACACTTGAAGGTTTCCTTGCCTCAAGCACCACACCACGTTGAAGGATATTACTTTTGATCAAACTTATTGATTAAAAAGGGGGTAGGTCAACTCTCTTACAAGTTGATCTTGCAAGTCCTATTGTTCGGATCTTGCAGTTGTTGAAGAAGATTGACCTTCGAAGGAACAACAAAGCCAGCACGAATGCAGTAGCAACATTGGTCTTGTGAAGATATAACGTGCAGAAATTCACACAAGTGTAATTGTTGGTTCATTATTCAACAACCAATTACATAGTGGATTTTGAGGACGTAGAAGGATTACCCCACCTTCGAACCTTGTTAAAGTTTGCGTGTCTCTCTCTTATCTTTATTCTTACTTGCAATTATATTAACTGTGAAAACTAACCTATCCATATTGATTACTGCTCACTCCACCCACCAAATTCCGCACACAATCTAAAGTTCACAAGGACTCTAGATTAACACTCATTTTCACGTTTTCAAAAGAAACGAAAAGGGTTTTAAATCTGTAACAAAGTCTATTCACCCCCCCCTCTAGACTTTGTATTTCACCACTTTGGGACCACCAATTGGTATCAGAGCAGTCTTCTCACTATCTACATTTAAGATTAACGAGAAGCGATCAAAATGGTGAACAATATGGATCACGGTTTGCCCAAGTTTTCTCTTCTAGGTTATGATGATTAGAAGATCATGATGGAAGCACACCTCTACGCTCTACATGATTGCATGTGGATGGTGCTTGAGGATGGACCCTTGAAAATCCAAATGGAGAATCCTGAGAGGAATCCAGCAACTCCAGACGTAGTCCAGTACATTCCAAAGCCCAAGGAAAAATGGGATGATAGAAATTGCAAAAAGCACAATCTGGATAACGTCGCCAAAGCAGCCATCTTCAAGACACTTGACCCCATCACCTTCTCCAAAATTAAGCACCTCAAGACTGCCATGGAGATATGGCAAGGTCTTGGGAAGCTATGTGAGGGTTCAGAGGACTTGAGAAAGCAGAAGATAGAAGTCCTGCTTGAGAAGTTCAAAGGCTTCAAAAT